TCAGCCTAAGCTAGAGATGAGAGCTAGTGGCCGGCTGCTTTGCTTCCCTGATCTTCAGCTTGAACCCTATCTGTCTCTGTGTCTTTTATTTATTTGTGTTACAGTCAGGGATGTGGTAGTTGCTGTGGACACCGGACAGTGCCCCTGGATAATCTATAGTTATTAGGGTCCTTTATGGAAGTGATGTGGAGAGCTGTGACCTCACAGCAGGAGACTGACGGAGCGTTGCCTTGACCCTAGTTACTCTGCACTATGAGGCAGACCCCGCAGGTCCCCATGGCATGCCAACAGTCAAAACCTCCATCACATGTGTTCAGTAAGAGTTCTCAGCATCATGCGTGACTCAGCATCACGTGCCATGTGAGACCTGGCCTCGGAGCAAAACGTTTAATTGTTTCTTTCTAGAAAGTGTCTGCAAGGCTTGTGGTGTCATCCACAAACGCTCTGCGGACTCACCCTTGTGGGCCTTCCCCAATTAATAGTCATCTGTTTTGAAATTCATGGAAGGAGTTCATGTTAGATCCACGAAGGTTGATCATCGCAAATGCGACCAGAGAAGTTTGTACATGTATCAACAGACGTGACTTGGTAGTGTGGCACGGTTACCGAATACAGCGCACACTGAGCACGTGACGTGAAAAGCCTGGGTCCAATCTGGAAGCCCCCCACACCCATGTTTGTACAAGCACCCTAGTTAAACTCAACTAGTCACAAAAAGGAGCTCGGGAGCGTGGATGGCGTAAGAGGGACAGTGAGGATGACTACCGTGCCTGGTTTACACTGTCATGAATAAAAGGAGGTTCCTGTATCAAACCCCCAGGAGAAAGAAAATATTTAAAAAACGTACACATTACATGAAAAAAAGATTCATCTATCCGCAGATTCAATATAGCAGGGGTGGGTAATGCCTAAGAGGGCTCTGTGAGAAGCACGTGACCTCCCTGTTTGGATACGCTTGCTGGGAATCTCTTCAGTGCCAAATGCCCTGCTAAGGACATGGACAGATGGCTCAGATGGCAGCAGGTCAGACTGACTCATTTTTTTTTTTCGATGAAGTGGAGCCTACAAGAGGAAGTAAATCACCTTTAGAGAATCTAAATCCAGAGATGCATCCAAACATGACTCATCTCCTGTCTTAGGGCCAATGGCTGGTTGGAGAAGGGGGGGGCATGTGAGCAACTGAGTTTCAGAACAGCAAACAGCATAGGGACAAAGACAGCTTATGCTAATGTAAATGGGTGTGAGTAGTTCACCTTGGGCCTGAGGGGTGAGTAGAGATGCTTACCTCTGCCTGGTGCCCTGAGTTCCATCTGGAGGGAGAAGAGGATTGAATTTCCACTTGCTGCCCTCTGACCTCTACATTGCTCAGTAGTGGGGGCATAACCCCCTCCCACACACACACACCTGGCCTGCCATGCTTCCATGGCTCTTGGTTTGAAGAGTACATTTTGCATGGAATAAACCGTTTCTGTGCCCCAGATCATGAGCACAGGAACAGTGTACACAGCAACACAGACACTTCTTAAAACCTATAGCTGCTTAGATAATGCTCTACAAATCATTAATTAGCTATCTATAGGAAAGTCCCCAGGGAGCATAAACTAAGTACGTAGCATGAGAACACACACTCTGTAAAAATTCTCAGAGGATTAATATTAATGTTTTAAAGCAAATAAGAGGAAAAAGAAATCAAAATTAAATCAAGTTCCAGCAAAAAAGAGCACATATGCAGAATATTAAGTGTTATTTTTTCCTTTAGTTTATCTTTTTCTATGGCACCGGGTAAGCACTTAGAATGCTAAGTTCCCTATGAGCCACACAAATACTCTTAACCACTCCAGGTTCTTCCCCATGTGGCCTCCATCACCGAGACACGCAAGCTGTTAGAGGAACCAGCTCTCACCGCTGAGCCTCAGAGGGCTGTGATATCCCACCATGTTCCAGTCTTGGGTAGAGCCTTAGCTACTTTTCCCTCCTCTGCCTTGGCTGGTGCACCTTGTGATGCTTCTGAACTCCTCTCTGTACCCAGCTTATTATTATCTCACAGAGCTGAACTACGACCTCCATCCATGTGACCCATTTTCCACATTCCCCATAGCTGTCTGGCGTGTGGGTATGACGTTTTCCTCCTTTTACAGGCTGAGCATGAGCCGCATGAACGGTTACGCAACCGACTTATGAAAACCAGCACCGGCGAAGACGTGCAAGGCAGTCTGGGAGGCATCTCTCTCAGTTACTTCCCTATCTGCTCTCTCCTTTAAATGTCTAAGGGGGTGAGGGTCGTCTTTTCAACTTCCTGCATTTTCCCGTGGGTCCAGAATGACTCTTTCCGCGGTGTGTTTGGTAGAAGGTGCAAGCCACGGAAGATGGATGTGCGGTGGCTTTGAATACTCAGTAACAAGGGTCACTTGTTTTCACCTCCACAAGCAACAGCAGGGAAGGGGGTCACCTGCATTTCCACAAGGTACCTGCTGCATCCCGGGAAAGAACTCAGCCGGAGAATTTTTTTTCTTCTTGTTAGTAGGCTCCTTCCAGATATCTCTTCTCTGTAGCATAGACTGAGAGGTGGTTGCCATCTCTGAAACGACAGGTGGGCAGCTTGGGGTTCCTGCCTCCTCTCACTGCTGACATCTAGCTGTGAAATGTTGAGTCAAAGTGCAGGGCTAAGAGACTGGGTTGCTTCCCATTTAGTCAAACACTATTGCTTCATATGAACCCAGTGTGATGCTGAATACATCCAGGGGTGCTGGTGGACGTAGGCTCAGCTGGGGCTGACAAAGGGGGACACTGGGGAGGACAAGAGTGTATGATCTCTGCAGTATGGCACTATGTCTATTAATTATACGTACCCTTGCCCGGCTTTGAGTCAGTTAATACACCTGACATTGTAAAAGAAATTATCCATGGTTGACTAAAACTCTGTGTAAATACTATCTAGCATTTTTCTGTAGTGGACACTGGCATGTATGTAGGCATGTTTAGCAGACTTATACCTAAGTCTAATATCTCTACATAATATATATATATATTATATATTATATATACATACAGTGTGTACATGTGTTTTATATGTCTGTGATTGTTTGTGTATGTACCTGTGTGTGTGTAATCATGTGTGTGTGTATGTGTGTGTATGTGTGTGTGTGTATGTGTGTGTAAAGGTCAGCAGTTCGTGTCCTTTGCTCTCCTACTTTCCTCTCCATCTTGGGTCTCTCACAGTAACTGCAGCACATGATTCAACTGTACTGACCATCAAACCTCAGGGAGTCCCATTTTGGTGGTATTAGAGACATGCACCACCATGCTTGATGTTTTGCTCGGGTGCTGGAGATGCAAACTCGGGTCCTCCTGTTTCTACAGCAAGCTCTTCAGAGCTGAGCCATAACTAGACCCCCAAATGATGTATTTTTTGCGGTGTTATAACTTGATTTTAGTAACTCTTCTGTTCCCAAAGTCTCTATATCTTTCTTACAGAATGTTAAGTGCTCTATTTCTGTTCGTTTCAATTAAAACGAAAAGAAAATTCTTCTTAGAACTGTTACTGTTGTAGTTGTTTGCCTGAGAAGAGCTAAGTAAAGAACCTGATGAAAATGCATTTAAAATGTGGCATTTGTACACACTCACTCGGTCTGTGCTCAACAACCATGTTCGTCCTTGGTCATGTGAACCAATGCCTTACGGTGCCAAATATATCAGCTCGATCTCGAGCTTTGGTTCTATGAAAAATATTCAAAGATAATGTAAAAAATATGGGTAGCTTATTCTAAAATCGTGATGTCTAGCTACTGGACTTTAAAATAGCTGTTGAAAAACACAGACCAGAATGTAATAATTCAAACGACCCCTTCGGAAAGGTCTCTTCTTGTCCATCAAGGTGACCACTTCTCTTACTTAGGTTTCATTGGCATCATCAAAGCATTGCAATTATTTGATGCCAAGCATAAGCTAAGCTTCCTCTCGCCAGCTGTGTACATTATTAAAGCGATGACATCATTGTCGAAGTGAAAACAGCATTGCCTGAGTTGTGACGGCATTGCCGGGGTAATGACGTCATTGCCAAAGCGATGACATCGCTGCTAGGATGACGATGCTTGAGAACACTTCTGAAGCTAAACCTCAGTGTCACACATGCCCTTCACACCCCTCAGTTAGAACGGGTATGCCCGTGCCAGGCTCCTTCTCACCTCAGAGCCTGCGCTGGCTCACGTGTTCCCACTGTGGCCATAGAGTATCCATCCAACGTTAGTCGCGGCATCTCAGTGGAGACTCTGAGGCTAAGACGATTCAAAGTGCTTGTTCTGCAAGACTGGATGCCAGCGCACACCACAGACCCACGCTGTGGGGGATTACATCAGACCAACTGCCTTGTTAGAATAGGGTATAAGAGCATGACAAGCATTCAAGTGTAGTGATCGACTCCAGGGACCTCTTATTGTTATTACCAACATGAGGTCTTGCTAAATTACCTCTTTTCCCTAGAACACTGACTCCAAGAATGTCCAGCCCCATTATCTCCAGTATGAAGCAAAGGCTTTTACGCCGAAGGATCGCGTGCCTCGGTGACCCTAAAACAGCCCTCCATTTCATCCCACACGGCTTCATGCAGCCCAGAAGTCGGGAAGCAGGAGCAGTGGGTCTGCCGTTAACCATTTCAGAACAGAGACCTCATCACAGTCATCAGCCTAAGCAGAATGGGGAGATGAGACTGTGTTCTAAATTACGCAGCACAGATCATTCACAATACAAATATAGTTGATACTGAAACTATATTACTAAATATTGCATTCATATTGAAACACTTTAATACCAAATCATTAGAGAAAATAAATCTAACCGGTGGACCACAAGTTTATCAGAGGTCTGACTTTCGGCAGAGCTAGGTCTCCAGGAGGCAAGGGCAGAGGATGGAAGACTGGCCCTGATGTTGTGGAGTTACTCAAGGGTATTTCAGCAGCATCTTACAGATAGTGAGTCTCACGACTGTGCGTTTGCCTTTTCAGTGCCCCCGAAAATATACGACATCTCGAACGACATGACCATCAACGAAGGCACCAATGTCACCCTCACTTGTTTGGCAACCGGGAAGCCAGAGCCTGCCATTTCCTGGAGGCACATCTCCCCATCAGGTGAGTGTTGAGCTGCGGCATCACAGGCTCAGAGAGTGAGTGAACCCCTTTCGTTTCCCTCCTCTTTCAAGACATTATGTCTACCGGACAGCAAGGGTCGAGGAAACTGAAGGCGTGAGCCACCCAAGCCGTCAGTTAATAAGCCCTCTTGATTCCCAGGGGAGGTTATTTTCATTTTAATATTCTGGGTCATCACCAATCAGTAGGCAAGGCTCAAATGGAATTATTGCTACAGGAAAAAAGTGTTCATTTAAAGTGTGTGCGGCACTTATTCAGCAGCATCCTCATGTTGACAGCCGGTGCGCGCTGCTGAGGTAATCAGGGGAGGATGGAATTAGGCAGGTCGTGAGTTGCTGGGTCTGATTTTAAGCCGCTGTGCGGAATCAAAGATGTGGGGGGTTAGAATTAAATTTACTCGATGAAGGGATCTGAAATTCCTAACATGGCAGTGATTTATACTCAAGAGATCACGTAACTGGTTGACAGGAGGTCTGTGGCGTGTTCCTGGGTACTCATGGCTTCTGCTACATTGTGCACATCTTCCAGAACACTTGAAGTCAATTTTAGCGCATTGGTGACAACCGTCATGCCGGCAGGCCAGTGTCTGCACTCTCAATGTCAAACAAAGCTTGCGTGCTGTTTGCAAGACTGTAGTAAACAGAAGCCCCAATCATGCAAGCCCTTGGCCTGGCTCTAGTCTTACTGAGAGTCAGAAAGACAGTGTTGGAGCAAGGCACTAAAATCCCACCTTTGAACTCAGTGAGCACACAGGCGTATCCACCTACGCACACACGCCTGCCATGCAGCCTCACCTCCAAACAGTGCATCAAAATAAAGGAATAAAAGACTTCACCCGGTAACTCAAAGCATTTCTTGAAGAGTAAAGGTATTATTTCATTGTCTAGGATTGCACCACTTTTCCAGATTTATATGGTTTTATTTCAGTTGTTTTTCTTTTATTTTTGGAAGAGAAAAAAAACACCTCCAACAAAGCTGGAGCCAACAATGAAACTTGCTGTTAATAAAATCAGAAAGGAACATTTTATGTAGGCGTAGGAAAGAGCGCACTTGGAACATCTACTTCATCTCCTGACGCTTTATATCATATCGCTCATCCTTAAGTGTCTTCCAGTTGGCTCATTTTACGCACCGAGTCTAATGAGACTCACCCACACCATGTGCACAGTATTGCTGTTAATGGGAACGAAAAATCAATACACCAGCATTACACACTTAGCCGGCGTGCATTACATTCCTGTAACAGTTCTGCAGCTTGAGTGTATTGTTGACTGACAACACCTCAATTGGCAAAACCCACAAAACTGACATGTGGACGTCAAACTCATGGCAGACTCTCAGCAGACCAGAGGTGACACGAACTGAGACCAGGCATCGAACGCACGGGTTTCTAAGCTGAAACACTTATTCCTGGATCCATCCGGTCTTTGACTGGCTCTCTGCTATCCTCAGGTGTTTCCTACTCTCCGAAGTTGTGTAACGATGATCTCTAGTTACTTTTTAGATTGACAGTGTCATGTGTATTTTTAAGGTATGGGACAGCTTGAAGCATATACACTTTCTAGCAGTTAGAACTGGCTAGCTAGTAAGTACACTGCCACTGTTTTCATCATGAGCCCCTCACCATCCATCCTGCTTGCATTTTCTAAGAGCAAGATGTAGATGGCACCAGGGATGGAGAGATGGCTCGTTGGTTAAGGGAACTAACTCCTCTTCCAGTGGACCTGGGTTCAGATCCTAACACCCACGTGGCAGCTAAGGGCTGTCTGCAACTCCAGGATCTGACACTCTCCCGTGGGCTTACCTGCAGGCAAAACACCAATGCACATACAATAAAAAGTAAATAAATAGGAAGGAAGGAAGTTCTTAAAAAGACGTGAGAGCATTAGCATGCTACACTGTGTGCAGTAGATGTCTTGTGTTTATCCCTCCCACCTCCCAGTAACCAGCATTCTTTCTCCAGCTTAGCACCCCAGGTGAGACAGGACTTGAGTGAAATAATAGACGTAAATGCACCAGGAGAATTATAAGGTGATATTCAAATGTACAAATGATTCCTAATCGTCTCTCCGGGGATCGAATCTGATGTCACTGTGAGTTTTTGCAAGAACGAAAGCACACAATTCCTCTACATGTAATTTTAGATTAATATTTTGGACTTAACACTCCCATTTCACTGTGCATGCTTACCGGGCACATTTGCCTTTTCATATATCCTTGGATGTATTTTGGTTTAATTAAATAACAAGAATGCCAGTTACTGAAGTTATTAGAATAAAGATTATAGATAGCATCACAAACTGAAGGAAGACAGATTGGGTTTATAAATTAAATGGCACAGATTCATTTTTCTGATCCTGGCACACCAAGAAAATGAGTAAAATTAGCATAAACATTAATAATTATCTACGAATAGCTGGACTCTGAAGATATTTTCATAAATTTCAAATTATAATGTGTTAAGGGTCTACATTCAAACGCTGCCTCGTGAAGCATGCCTGATAATTCTATTAGCTCATATATTTGTACTTGAGAGAAAAATTGTGAATTTCACTAGTCCACTTATTTTTTCTTTTAACCTGAGAAACGTCAATGTCCTGCATTACCTGCTGTTCCCCTTTGCTATGTAAAGAATATGTACCTGAAAATACCTGTCCACGCATAAACAGGGTTAGTGCTTCCAGTAGAAGCCATGACTGGGTTCTATAAACAGACAATGCACTCTTTTTTGTTGTTGTTGTTTTGTTTTGTTTTGTTTACCAGTTTATTTTGTAAGTCTTAGTTTCTTCCGTGAATGGTCCTGTCGAGTGGTTCCTAGCAGGTCTCAGAATGGTGGTGGCTTACCCTGGGTCTTCCCTCATCTACAGACATGCAAAGCCCTGATGTGTCCATGCCCCAAGCAGCCCTGGAGGCAGCAGGAGTGGGCACACTGATGTTCTCACGTTACGTCCATCTGCTGTGGGCTTTACCGAGATTTTGGATCAATGGATTCCTTAATTCGTTTGTGTCCATGGTTTATTTCTCTGCAAACTGCTTAGCCTCTGCCCTAGTTTGCTTTCTCTTGCTGCGATAAAACACTACAGGATGAAAGCAACTTGGATAGGAAAGTGTTTGCTTGTCTCACACTTCCGTCTCTGAGGGAAGCCAGCGCAAGGACTCAAGTCAGGAACCTGGAGAGGCAGGAACTGATGATACAAAGGCCGTGAAGGATCGCTGCTTACTGGTCTGCTCTCTGTCTCAGCCTACTTTCTTATACACGCCAGGAATGCATCAGTCATCATTAGAGACAATGCCCCATAGACGTGGCCACAGACAAGTCTGAGGAGGCATTTTCTGGAGTGATAGTTCCTTTTCCTAGAGGAGTCTGTCTGTGTTGAGTTGACAAAAGGCTAGCTTAAACCTATGAGGGAGTTACACCCCGGTCAACCCATCCTAGGAAGAACACACAATACATCCAGGTACACTTAGTGCACCCAGCATCATAGCTCAGGAGTGTGGGAGCCCTGAACCTGCCCGGCACATTCTCTTGATAACACACACTATGTCCCCAGAGTCAAGTTAATTTGCCTCAGCTTGTATCATTTTGGAATGGTATGCTCAAAACTCTCAGACTGGACTATGGTTAAGTCAGGGAGTGTGTATTTTTTTCATAAGATGATTTGAATGATTTGAGACTGTTTCTTGGTTTCCTTTATATCTAGATATTTTACTTTGTGTTTCTAAAGAATTTACAAAGTCTCAAGGGTCTTTACTTCAAGCCTCGTGTAGTGGGATGGGCCCTTAGCTGAAGCAGGAAGATGGCCTTGAGATCAAACCTGGCCTGCTCTTCAAGGTTCCTCAGTGCCAGAAAATTTAACGCTGCGTCTTGCATTGATCAATGAACCTGTGGTGCATTTTTGCCACCTGACACAGCAACTGTGTTCGCAAGCAGACGTCCTCCTCAAAGACGGAAGGAATCAGGGCCATGTACTGTTTTTAGCCCCAGTGCAATGTTAGTACTCTCCACTTTGGAGGTGGACTCTTCAGGCATTCTTTGAATCCTGTTTGAGACAGATTAAACATTTTTTTAATGGCATGCTCCTACTTCAGAGATGGATCCTGTTGCTGCCTGGCTGTGGGATAGCTGTGGCCATCAGGTCCTTCCTCAGGGGCCCCACTTAGAGGCCCATGACATCCATCGCTCCCTCATTGACAGCTTTAATTTCAGTTTACCAATCAGGACACGAGTTGGTTTCTAACCTATGGGGTGTTTTTTCCCTTCCCCCATTCCATGCTTCTAATAAACAGCAGGGGAAAGTTCACAACGTGACAGGCAACCGTCCTCTGTTGTCAGTCTTCCCTCTCTTGTGACAAAACTCTGAGCCCTTCATCATTCTTGCTTTCCTCTCCTGGAGGGAACTTAAGCCTTCTTCACAGCTCAGGAACCTTCCTCCAGGTCCCAGCTGGTCCCTAAAAGTGGGTTGCCAACAAGGAATGCTTGGTACCCAATTTCTTATTGATTCATTGAAGTGGTTGTGTCAGTTGGTTAGCAACTTTTGAAAAATGTTCATGTTTGTTCATGATTCACTGTTGTTTAATCATTTAGATGTTCTTAACTTAGCCAGCAAGGGGTGTGTCTGCGTATCTGTGACCTTATACCGTATGCCTGCCATATGTCTGAGTGACCTGGCCTTGCAAAGTGCTGGGCTCTTGTGTGTATCCTGCCCGGACTCTGTAATAAACTGCTTACTTAGCTCCAACTGACAGGGTACATGTGGGGCACCGTTGATCTGCCATGGTAATCGGTGAATCAGCTGTCCGGATGATGTCCTCTGAAGTTGTAGTACAACACAAGAGTGTAAATGATTTTAGGTCAAGGGTTGACAGGGCACTGGGGAGGAGGGATTAAGTGGGGATGGGATTCAAGGAGATGGGGAGAGGAAGAGGTGGGAGGAGGGGGACCAGAACCACGAATTTACTTTTTCTTTCCGTAAAGAAATAAC